AGCATCCAGAGGAAATCCCAGGGAAGGACATACAAACTCCATACAGATAGCACTCCAGGCCTGGAATTGTACCCAGGGCCCCAGCACTGCAAGGCAGCAATGCTAAACACAGCACCACCATGATGCCCACAAATAAAGAAATTTGAAGTCTTTTTCCATACTGCACAGTAGCTTTGTAAGTAAAACCCCTTCGCCACTTGTGTAAATTGCAGGGGGGTCTATAACCACAAGAGGTTAAAATACCCTGTAAAGTTGATGTGTATTATTAATACATCACTAGTATACTTAGAACTGGGGCAACTTTTCTAGCAGACACTTCTAGTTCAGAGTGAATATAGCAAACATACTGCATATTTATTTTCCTCAGACATCAAAACAGGAGTGATTCCGTCATCTTGGAAGCTGAAAGCACCCTTCAGCCCAGGGGAGTTCCCAGTTGCGCTATTTTTCAATGCCCAGCGTTTAAAGTCCTCCAAGATCAAAGACTAAACTAAACACTAATTACAAGGCACATTTGCTTTAGCATACCTATGGCAGATCACCACCCAATGACAATCAAAACAACTGTGAACCACCACGGGCCTGGGAACGAGACCAGAACACCAGTGTGGAGACATGCCCTACTGAGAGCCCTATAGGACACCAGAGACACAGGTTACTATAGTCCCGCCTGGGCCACCAAAATATTGAGGGTTAGCTGCTCCTCCTGTCCTTACTGCAGCAGAACTCCAACTTTGCACTATAACTTTGTCCCTCTCTTTTATTGAGCTACAAAATAATATTTCTCATCCCAAAACGAAAACAAATGTTAAGCAGGAAACTATAAAGAACCATTGCGACACACAAAAGCACTTCATGGATTTACTCATATTCCAAACATGCTTAAATGTAAAAAGAAGAGAAGCAGCCCAGCCATGGAGCTGAACTCTATGGCTGAACTAGGTGCATTTGTGCTTCTGTCCTTTTCAGTCTGGCTGCTGAATTGACATTTAAACCTAAGCTTATGTTTAAATTGACACGCCACCTGTTGATGAATTGGAGAGTTGGTCCCACAGATGTTCTTTTAGACTCAGGGATGAAGCTGGTTAAAGCAAGACCTCATCATTGTTTTCTTAGAGCGGTAACCCTGCGTGGTCTTTCCTGTTAGAAAAGTAACTGCTCTAAATTGGTTAAGATCTAGCTGTTGGCAGATGGACCCATTAGGTTGCCCTCAATCTGCGCCAATTTTTGAAACTTTTCCCATTAAAGGGGTTTCTACGTCATCAGACATCTCCTGCGTTACCAGCTGACTTAAGCAACAGTCAGCTTAATGCTCACCACAACATCTCTACTCTCATGGTCATCTATCTGAGCAGGGAAGGGTGAATTCAGCTCTCTACCATTGTCCTTGTCATTTAGACCTTCTTGAAGGACCTTGTAACAAGCTGCCCCTGGACAGCCTCTGAGCATGCAGATCATTTTCAGGCAGGCAGTTACAGTCATTCTGCTGGTCCACGGTTGATGGAATTTCTTCAACTGTCCTGAGGTACTGAAACTACTAAAGTGTGAAAGCACTTTAGCAGATGGATAAGTCAAATGTAATGATATTCAATCGTTCTAAAAGCAGCCAAGCGATCTTCATTACGCAAGGTTGTATCTTCTGCTGTTCGGTTTTTAATTACATTCTTACCTCTCCGCGTGGCTTTTTACATAATTAACTCAACTTTGGCTGAATGAACTCAATTCAAATACCAACTAGAGATCACCAGCGAGCTTGTGAAGTCACTCAACTTGAGATCAGTATTTTCAAACCTCAAGGGACAAAACTGTTCAAACTGTGTGCTCATTACTTAAAACATAAATAACATTGAATACTTGGCCAACGAGCTATTCCTTTTCATTGTGTATCAATATACATTTACCTGCCAGTGCATGAGAAATTAAAGTCAATGATGAATGCTGTTTTGAAGCTGCCCATCAGCACAAGGGCAGCACAATTCGTGATACTACCTTGTTGCTGCAGGGCCCTGTGTTTAATTTTGGACTGTAGCTGCTTCCTCTGTAGAATTTGCTTGTCCTCTCTGTATGCGTCCTCTTTTCCCCTAGGTTCTCTGGCTTCCTCTTGACTTTCAAAGACATGCTGACTCTTAATGGGCTGCTATACATTATCTACAGTATGCATCTATTTCATGAGTAAGGGGGTAGACTTCTCACTGTCAGAAAGGGTTCTAATGCCATTCTACCCTGTTATCAGATTCAAGTATTGGGTTCTACAATATGATATAATACTTTCACTTGGTTTGAAGCTAAAGGAAAGGTTTGAATGACAATATAGCACAAAATGAGAACATGGCTGAGGTAGGAAGACGAAGGCTTAAAGGAATGAAAAAGAAATACATTTCTGGATTACTCAGTTCACTTTACCACAGCAATGCTGTTACATCCTGGCCATCTCCCCCTTAACGACTTCAGGGTCTTGAGACCCCTGGGGTTTGCAGTCAGATACATTATGTATTGACACTAGACAAACTACCAAATCATCAGAGTCTCAAAATAGTTGGGATTTAATAAAGAGTTCTGCTCTTTGTTTTCAAGGATTCTGAAACACCGAAAAATCCCAAACTAATTTTATTTCTTTCCTCATGGGGGAACCCGGCAGGCAACAGCCCCAGTATGTGCCTATCGACTGGATTAATAACGTTTCCCTGTCTGCGGATGCTCTGTAGCTTGGAACGTTATCAACTCCCCCCCTTCCCCTCTCCCTGTGCTTTTCTGCTGGAGTTCAGATGAGCACAGTATCTCTTATTTCATGCAAGTCCTGGGTCACAGCGAGTGTGTGGGCGAGTCCACTACAGTCAGCTGCGCCTGCTGTCAACTTTGAGGGGTTACAGCACAGAAAGAACTAAAAGGAACACCCCCCACCTCTCGTTTGCTAACCTCATTTTCTTTGGTAACTGCAACATTCTGTGAAAGAGTACAAGAGAGTGGTTAAGACTCAGTGCCCCTAATTGACTTCCTGCAATTTGCAGGATTATTAGCCTGTGCTCTTTCATGCTGATATCCACTGGGATTTTGACACAACTTTTCCCCCTCAGTATAACAGCCCACAATTTTTAAAAGTAAAAGCAAATCCTATCCTAATCAAAGAAATGAATAGTAATTGCAACATGTGGTAGAAGAAAGCAGAAGGTCTCCCTCCCCATCTATTAATACTGCCTGGTTGAGACCACTGAATCAAATGTTATCATCAGAGGAGAATTAATGTGTACCTCAATTTCCTCTTCCTCCAGCCCCTGAGGAGCCAATTGTCCCTTTCTGTTCCGGATGAAAACCGGAGACGTAGCAAACTGTTCTTATGCTCGCCACACACACACACAAAGAAAAAAACGCTTGCATTGGATTCTGTGGCCATTCTGTGGCCTTGAAACAACTTGACCGCAGAGCCCAGTTTCACTGCATTTAGAAGGACTAGAAGAGACCCAAAACCTTTCAAAGATCTACTACGTCTTTTAATTTAGTGATGTGGCTGCCACATGCACACTCACTAAAGAGCAAGTGCATAATCTATTTTGGGTTGTCTCTGGAATCCTGTAATTGACAGCCGACCAAGCCTCTGCAATGTAACCCCAGCCTAGACAGAGAGTTTTAGAGCAGCTCCTCACATTAAATTAGTACTGTAATCAGGATGTCTTTCCGGCACGCTTCAGTAACCATTTTAATATACAAGACACAGAGGTCTGTGCAAATCACAGCTACCATGAACTTAAAACTGCTGTTGGAAAAAAAGAATGCTTGAATATTTATTTATGGCAGTATAAAGGCACCTCGGAATATTCCCGGCATTCAAATCAAAACATTTCTGAAAAGATTATTTTGTTATTTGTGTTTTGCCTTTTGCAGGTGGCCTGTAAAAAGGGATTCTTAAAATGTTTTTATTTGCCCCGCAGTCAAGATTTGTCAGTTCCAGAAATTATGATTAAAGATAAGGCAGTGCACGTTTCAATCTTTTAAATTTTCGGCATCTGTCATGGTCTACCTGCAGACAGCAAAACAGAAATTAGAAACAAACCAACCTACAGTAGGATACTGCTGCTTGACTGAATAAAATCAATCTAGACACCAAGGGCCTGCAACAGCATTTTTCTGGAATTTCTTTACCATCCCATAACCTATGTTATGCTCTATTTGACTAAGAAACATTCACACCAAATTTATACATGGATATTACTTCTTATAATCAATATGTCGTCGATTTAAAACCAACACTAATGTTACTCTTGGAACTCCAAGTAAAATTTGGAAGTGAAATTCTGGAGCGAGTGACACTTAATGGACAGCAAAGGAGGAGACGAGGAACGGGCAGAGACACTGCCTCACCAAGAAGTACAGTAGTTATGTGGGGACCAATATTTCCTTTTCGCACTGCCTGTCATTTCACACATCTCTGGAAACTCTTTTCGACAAAAGAACTGGGAAGGTGCCTTGTCCTTGCAGAACAACAACAACAAAAAAAAAAGCTGAACGATGTGATCGGGACTGGTGGCAAGTCCATCCTTGGACTCAATAACCTGTCTAAGTGGGAGACATATTATTAATTTTGCACATAACGTCCTAGATGACCCTTCTCATCCACTCTTTTTAAAATATACTGTATGCTCCTAAACTCTGGAAGGAGGTATCAGATCCCTGTATAAAGACTAAGAGAGCACAAACTTCCTTCATTCCTAAAAACATTCCATTGTTGAACAATGAAAATGAAAGTGTTGGTACGGCAGGTAGTGATCTTATTATTGTTGTTGTTTTTAGACTCTTTACAAGCCAGCTGCCTGTTTTTATTCATATGGTACTGGAAGAGTTCTTATCGACTGATGGTGTCGAATGTTGTTTTGTATTATGGTACTGTTGTCGTGTATTATTGTCATAGATGTTATATGAGCTCCTGATGTGCACAAGAAATCACCTTAGGAGCAATAAAGGTCACTTCAGGTTAATAAGGTCAGTTCAGAAAGGGCTCTTCTTACCTTTTTGAAAAGCCGAGTGGAGTCCTCGCTGATCTGCATGAAACGCATGATCACGTTGTTTAGGTAGATGTCACTTAGGGTGGCATGATCCTTGCTTTCCCTTCTCACCTGGTTCAGCAGCAAATACCAGCAGTTGACAGGGGACAGGAGATTCTGGTCTTTCCTTAAACACGGGGAAAGAGAGAAAACAGTTTTTGTTTTTAAAAAACAGAGCACTGACAGGCCTTCAACAGCTATTCTCTTGTGACAGGTAAATGTCTTGTAAGCGGTGAATTTCTGCCAATTGAACAGCAAAATACAAACCTATGGGTGCACATAGAAGCTACAGTGGATGTAAAAGCAAGGACAGGTGGCACTTTCTTCTTTACTCAAAGAGTTGTGGGAGTAGAGAACAAGCTACCCCGCCCTTTTTGTTGTGGAAGCTGATACCCTGACGTCTTTCAAGAAACAGCTGGATGTGATTCTTAAATTAATTAATAATAACCACAGGGCTGATTGACTTCCACTCATAATGACTTTTCTTATGTGCTCACTATATAAGAAATTGAGAGCAGGTGGTTTTCCTACCAGAGGAAAATGCATCATTCTCCTCTCCAGAAGGGCGAAGCTGGGTGTCAAGAGTTCCAGTTAGGTACTGGTCGATGTTGTCTTTTCTACACTTAAACTTTGTTACAATCTGTGACAACTACCCCATTCACCTTCATTAAGAATGAGAGCAACTTTGTCTACAGTCAAAAAGAAAGGTCAAAATGCAAAATAACATTAAAGGAAACCATGAAGTACAAAAGAAAGTGAGAGAAGCCACTGTGTATAATCCAGAGGAAAGGGAGATTGAGTTCAGAGAACAGTGTACACAAGGGTGCTAACAGACTACCTATTAGATCTCTATGCCCGGACTTGCAAACAGCTTTTAAAGGCGGATAAATCAGACGCATATCTTATATGAGACAGGATAGCAACTCAATAAATTATACAGACCACCTCCAGCTGCTAAAAAATTAATAACAATAATTACATACTGTAGACGCAAGGATCGCTAATTATATTTTTGGTGACAGATATGTTCGGCACAATTCTGCAAGCTGACTTTTCTTTCTTGTCCAAACAAGTTGCGTCACAATCCAGTTCAAGTTTCTGTTGCTCAGGCACACGTCTGAGGTTATGGTACACCATTTTCACATTGCTGCTCTGCATTTTTAAAAATGTTTTATGAGTGAGCACTGAGTCTGTACACATGCAATAGCCTCAACTACAGAACTGAATATCCTCTTGGTGAACGATTTATCAGGAGGTAAAGAATACAGGTGGGCTGAACATAACACGTAATTATGCACATTGCCTGTACCTGTAATAGTTTAGTATGAACTAGCATAATAGTTGAACTTAGGGGATATTTGTTTCTGTTGTGCTCTCTAAAACATCCTCCCTAGGGTATTGGCTTCAGCAATACGGTGGGATGGCTTGTTCCACACTTCCACAACCCTGTGGATATCTTTATTTATTTAGCTCTCTGTACTTAGTTTTTTTCTTCCAAATACGGTAGCTTTAGTAGGGTTGCAGGAGTGTAGAAAAGGCTACTGTCATGTTTCTGAAGTCAATACCTTGGATTCTCTCAAGAAACAACTGGATGAGATGCTTGGATAAATTCATTACTATCAAGATGGGTCGAATGGCCTTATCTCATTTGTAACCTTTCTTATGTTCTAATCTTCCACATTTCTTTCATTTTAATTCCATTTGAGAATGGAATCCTAGAATGATCCTCCCTCCTAGGATACTCTATTGTTGTATAAAGTCGGGCAAAAGGAAATTGCAGTGTTATTTTATTTGAATAGCAGGTTTTTTATTGATTTACTAGGAAACATGGAGTAATGGCTTACAAAATAACAGGTTTACAATGAAAGGACACTGCACAAAGCATGCATAATTCAAAGCAAATATAATGCTTCTGAATGAAGGATAGAAATCAATCTTGTATTCATATTATCTTGGTTCAGGCACTAGAAGAAGTAGCAAAACATAAAAGGAATAAGATTTTGGTTCTGTTCAGAAAAAGCAGAATAAAACAGGCTTTAGTACAAAACAGTTTCCCCACTTACAACCATTTTGTATCAAATGAATTCATCAATGAGTATGATAAAAAAAACATTCTTTACTGTGTTAAAAATGGGATAGATATGTAAAAATATAAAAATGTGAAAATTAATTTGAAATCAAGCGGGTAAATGAAAATCTTGCAAACTCTTGAGGATGATAAAAAGGACAATCCTTGATATACTGAGCCATTTTCGAGAAACAAACCTGACTACTAATCCAATTTAAATAAAAGTTATACAGTTGTAAGAAAAAGTTTGTGAACCCTTTGGAATTACCTGGATTTCTGCATTAATTACTCATTAATGATGGGGGCTGATCTTCAGCTAAGTCACAATAATAGACAAACAATCTGCTTAGACTTTAAACTTTATTGTGACTTAGTTGAAGATCAGACCACATTTGTATGAGTAATTAATGGAGAAATCCAGGTAATTCCAAAGGGTTCACAAACTTTTTCTTGCAACTGTATGGTAAAGCTATTTAAGATGTACAGTACACCATAAAAGAGGGAAAATATAAAATACAAAGCATTATTTCAGTATCAGCAGCTTAAAACGGGAACAGACAGCTGCCACTCATTAAAATTATTATTTTTTTATCAGCTCTGCTGTTCATGCTGTTCTATTACTGGCACTGCAAAAATGAATGAATGGATATATCAAATCTTTCCACTGTAAGAAAACTGCCTTTGTTTCCTTTTTTGTTCAGGTCCCTGCCATTCAATACGCAAATCTCATTATACACACAGACCTCCACATCAGAGATCAAGCGAATTTCTTCTTCAATCATGACTGAAGTGCAGATAACACTCTGTTTAAACTTGCACTGCAGAGTCTCCCTGGGGTTTTCACAAATGTGCTCTGATTACTCTAAACTGCTTCAGCAGACAGGGGCCCTGGCCAGGCTTGTGAACAGCCAGCCCTAATTTACCGGATCAGTCACCCAGTGGCTAAGAATTTAAAAAAAAATCAGAATAATCAGGACATTTATTAGCAAGTCTGACGATGCGTGCAGTGAAGTTAAAGTCATTCTGCATTTGCATATGACTGGCGGTTCTACGTTAGATACCAACAATTAACCCACAGGCACAACAGAGGTGCTACAATGCTGCTCACCACTAAAACAATCCAATGTAAGGAATCTGTCATTCAAATAACATCTGCATTGTGCCTCAACCCACTAATGAGGTTACCTGCTGCCCCAGTTGCGCAGGCACCACAAGGCAATGACGCAAGGTGTTCTAAAAATGTGACTTCTAGAAGTTTAAAGCCCTACTTAGCAGTAAAAAGCAGCAAATGCCATTATTCCTTGCAAGAGCATTAATTAGGTCTGACAGACCCCTGAGAATGGATGATGACAGGAAGAGATAGATCCCTTGAAAATGGAATGGGTTTGTGTTTTTTCTCTATTTAAATAAATGGGGTTTTCTTGAATTCCTCTAAGGTTAGCGTTCTCAGTGCCCTAGTCTTGAAGTTCATTTAAAAAAGAAGGTCATAAGCCTTTGCCAGCACTCTTTCTCTGATCAAGAGCCCATCCGAATCCCCCTAGCCTTGCCTGGGCAACTGGGATTCAATTCACTGTGTAAAAAGTGGTTGATATCTTTGTATTTTGTGACTGAGAGGATATCTGCACAATCTCTATTCCTCACCCAGACAATTGACCACTGACAGTTTTTAAGCCCATTGCAATTTCTGAAACACTGCTGTTTTGGGCATCCTGGTCAGATTTCCCATTGGCCTTTACCAATCGTGGCCTCCTTTGAAATGGCTTTATCACTCTGTTCTCCTCCCGACCGATAGCTGATATGTGGGGAGTATACTGGAACACTATGGCTCCAATTGCATTATCCAAGTGGATGCTGCACATTGGTGGTGGTAGTGGGATTCCCCATTACCTGTAAAGCACATTGAGTGGAGTGTCCAGAAAAGCAGTAAGGAATTATTATTATTGTTTAATACTGGGAGTCAGCAACAGGACACTTGTCTTGGAGTACACAGTAGGGATTTGCGAATGCAAATCAAATTCCAGTACAAATGACTCCTGTATAAAAAAACACAGCACCAGCCGCCACCATCCCATTTCTCTCTGGATAATTAATTCAGGCACAAAGACAAAGACAAAGAATAAGAAAAGAGTCTCAGCTTAAATTGAACTTACTTCAGTTCTAAATCTTAATTTTACATCATATTGTTTACTTCAAGACACTATGACGAGACTTTGTATGCTTGGTTTCTACACTCAGTAATGCTGTAGGTAAACTTATGTCAGCACGTCTAAATGTGCTCAGTGTCTTCTCTGGAAACAAATCTGACATCACACAAGTGATAAATACAATCTGCGTAATGGATTGCATTGGAATCTGACTGCTATCGAGAAACATTTTCTAAACAGAAATGTGTGAAATTAATTACAACCTGCTTTATATTTGATAATGATACAACATGATATTAATTCACAATACTGAATATGCTGCTATGTGAACTAATATATGAATGCGATATTACACCTGCATTTAAATGGTTAATTATAAAAAATGATTTTCAAATAAATTGGGGTGGCTATTTCATAAATGCAGTTGTCACTCCTCATCGCTAATAATCCTTTCAAAACATAAATGGTTATTTGTGTTTTTAAATACCATCCACTGACAATTTCAAAACTTCCACAGACAGTATTTAATTAACTGCAAAAGACCATTTAGTAACTCCACAGCAAACAGCCAACTGAAGATTATCTAAAGAGCATACTTCAGGCAAAGCATTTTGCCAAAACAAAACATATTATCCACTTATTTTTCTGTGTTTTTCTTTGAATGCATGGGGTAAATTGTGTATGTAACAAATATTAATCTGTTATCCCTGCAAGCTTTAAAGCACTGAAGTATGTAAGCCGAGTCTGAATACTCTTGCAAGGCACTGTAATTAAATCAGTCGCTTAAAGACTGTTAACCATCATGTTAGCAGACTTCAGTGGATTCAAGCTGAACAGTTCCACAGTTTGTAGACTTTGCAGATGGGGGCTGCAGCTTAAAATTGAAATCATGAGTGTAACACGCAAAAACATTAATTTGACAAAGCATGCCTCTCACTAAAACAAAGCTGTTGTTTTTTAACATTTAATGGAATTGCTTATTAGGCATTTGCATTGCTAAGCATAGACATGGCAGCACAAGATACACAGTGAATTTAAAGATCATGTTACTCAAGGATTTTGGCTGTGAGGTCTTCCGTTATCACCTGTCTTGATGATGCACCTCAGTATGTAAATGAAAAAAAAACGTGTTTCTTCTGTAATAGTTAAGACACTGAAATATTACTAATAATGATTTCAAAATAGAGAAAAGGAATACATACCAAAAGTTAAAGAGCTGCACTCGAACAGAATATAATAATAACAATAAAAGCAAGGCACTTTACATTGTAAAAAGCTGTTCTGTTTTAAAAACAGACGGATAATTTGAATAAGTTAAATAAATTTAAATTGAATTAAAATATTTTTAAAATAAAATATAATACACTATCTCTTGGGATACCCTAAAATGCAAGGAAGTTTGGCAATTTTAGTGCAGAAAGACAAAAATAAAGAAATATATAAGGCTCACTAGTTAAAATCCTTTCAAATTTATAGCCATTCATGGTTTTCAAGCAGAATATGACCTAAATAATACATAGGGCAGATCATAATCGAAATAGGTGTAGGATACCAAACGTTGGCCACATCTAAGAGGCAACACCTAAAAGGTTTTCCAGGAATTTCAGGTTAAGAACTTGGAAGGAAAATGCTCACTTCCAAAACAATTTTAGGTGCTCTTCATTCATCATTGGACTACAGTACATAAAGACAATGCTGAAAAAAGGTAACTTTTGAACTTGACAAAATAAAGACCAGATGAGTTTGTCTGTATGCCTCTATGATTAAAATAAGAGCCCAACCCAGAAAGAAAGAGATCTGCGTTACTGAAGAAAAACATCAAAATATCAAGTCAGCAGAGTAACTGCTGAAATAACTCTGAAATAACAGAAGCCCACCTTTAAGAGAAATAGGCACTCTGGCTAGGCCATTATCACTACTTCAGACACAGGCAGAAATATTGAGGGTGGGCAAGCCACTTACGTATCTAGAAACACCTTGCACACATTTTCTTGAAAAACTAACTATAAAGAGGTTCAGCCTGTCACAACTATATCTCTGTAAAAAACTACAACACCGTTTTCCTTTAAAATCTCACTGATGCACAAAGGAATACACACTCTGTAAACAACCATACGTTTTCCCCTAGCATTGTATACAATCTATATTTAACTAATGATTCCACTTCATTCCTCTTTGAGAAGAAAGAAAAAACAAATCCATCTTTGCAATGTTTAACTTTTAATGTCTGTGTCTCACACTGACTGAAACACTGCTTCTCCTCTCCAGTGTGCCTCAGGAAGATTGAAGCCAGAAGTCTAACAATCCCCCAGATTGTGGTCTTGACTCATTTTAAATACCGGCAAATTGTTAGATTATTCTCCCTTTAAAGGTACATTGGCCTCTTTCAGGGAGTAATAAATCAAGGAAACGTACAACTTAAGCAGTTCGCAGGGTGCAAGACAGTGTAACATTTACGAGAGTTCATATAGCACAGAGAGCTCAGGAGAGCCTGGCTTTGAAGTTCAAGCTGGGGTCCGTTTGCAAAGCATTTTCTGTTTAATGCTCACTGTCCGAAAACCATAGCTGGGTGGCTTCAAAAATCCCTGTTATGATCACAGAATTCCCTGATAGCCATCAGACCAATTTAACTAATACTCAACTGGTAAACTATTCTCAATATTGGAGAAATCCCTGGATATAAAAGCTTAGCAATGTCAAAAGCCCAGTCTTAACCGCCTTCACCTTCCCACGAGTACAGTACTGTGTGAAAATTAAGAAACAATGTGGATTTTAATGTGATTTCAGATTATTATTCTCCACTGTGTTACTCATTTTTAACCACTATATGTATTGCCTCCTTTCTGACATCAAACTTTCAATGAGACTTTTTGCATCAAAGACCCTTGTCCAAGAACAGTCTTTTTTATGTTTTAAAGACTGCTGGTTTTAATTGCACAAATAGAGCTGTGCTACCAGGTTATCATAGGGTACCTATATGAAGGAAGATACCCATAACCTGATGGCCCTACAGGTCCAGGTCAGCATGCAACTGAGGTGCACCTGGATTAGATATGAGCTCATGACAATTTGACAACAAATAAGGGGGCAGCTGTCTTCTTACTTGTACTGCTGGTGGTCCTTGGTGCTCCTTGTCTTGGCCATAAAGCGCTCAGCCAGCTTTTCCAGGTTGCGGGAGTACTCCATCTCGATTTCAGCCTTCTTGCGGAAGAAGTCCTGAAGGTCCTGAAGAAGCTGGACTCTCATCTCCGTCTGCTGCTCCAGGCATTTCTGCTGCTCCACCAGCTGTGCACGGATTTCTGAGAGCAGAAGAGTACCAGTTAAAAGAAGTGTGGACCAACATCAGGGGTCAGAGCGATCTGGGTTTCCACTGGAAGGAGAATGATCCCAAACCAGTCAGTGGTGTTGAAATGAGGATTCAAGTAACTTGTTAACAATGAAGTCGAAGTTGTGTTCCCTTACAAAGAGAGAAAGTACATTGTTAAATATGGCCTTCTCCCTGTCGGTGTGTCTGTGTCTTATGGAGAGCAAGCTGGGGTTTGCGAAAAGACAAATTCCTAAAGCGATGATGTTACTATCAACCTGAACTGGTCAAAATGTCAGGTATACGTTCCAGGAAAGAGTAATTTCAAGCCAAAACAAATTCGGAAGAAGGGGCTTTGGTTTTACCAAGTCTTAAAGTCTTAGGTCCAAGTTTAATTACTGCTGTTTGAATAATCAGTAAGGTCATCTATTTAATTTGATGCATAATTTATCATTTATTCTATAACTTAGGCAAAGTTTGTAAAAAACACATTTCAAATATTCTTGACAGCTGGATCAAGCAGGGGCGCAGTAGTTTTATTTTCTAACTGCTTAGTCCTGGAGAAGGTTGTGGTGGTAACAGGCTGAGCAGGGTAGACCAGATTTCCCTTTCCCCAGCAACAGTCTACAGCTCCTCCTGGGGGACTCCCAGTGGTTCCCAGGCCAGCCGGGAGATATAATCCCCTCCAGCCTGTCCTGGGTCTGCTCCGGAGTCTCTCCCCAGTGGGCCGTGTCTGGTACATCTCCAGCAGGACACAACCGGGGGAGACATCCTCACCAGATGCCCAAACCACCTCAGCTGGTTCCTCTCAAACCAAAAGAGCAAGAATTTGGCTCCAGGGTCCTCCCGGACTGCTGAGCTCCTCAATTTGTCACAGAGAGCAAGCTCAGCAGCCCTTGAGAGACACCTCATTTCCACAACTTGAACCCACAATCTCATTCTTCGGTCATTACCCAAAGGGACATAAATCGACCAGAACTGACACTGATACTGCTTCAAATTCATAGTTTGGAATCACATGTTAAGAGCCAGTATTAGTGGGCAATACTGCTCATTATTCAGCACAGCAATTGCTAGATTTTGTCACCGGTTTGTATCCATTAGAACAATTTGATGGATGAAGACTGATCTCTTAAGCAGACGATTTGTTACACTTGGTAACATAGTACTTAAATGTTACACTATGTAATATTTAACTAAATTGCAAAGATATGCAAATTATCTATGTAATATTCTATCTGAGTACAATACAGTTTTAAGAACACCCTGCCTTATTGATTTTTTTAAAACATAACACAAATCACTGATGTAATTTGTATTATGTCTAAATCATTTGGGAGCAAGAGATCATTTGGAACAAGAATCAGAATACTCATAATCATTTGGAACAAGAATCGGGATACTCATCAGGCCACAAGAACCAGTGCTTTTAATTAAATTACCTGCATAACAGATCAATAACATCACAAGTATCCCCAATCCTTAGAAACAGATGATTAAGGGTAATATGCGAGATTTATTGGAACGAGGCGCTCCAAGAGAAGAACTGAAATCATCTAGGTTAATAAGGAAACCAAATGAAAGAAATGGCATTGAAACAAACATTATGAGATGCAAGGACATCAGCTTTGCAAAAACATATCTAAACACTATGATACACAGAGGAGAACAAAGGACCCTGGTCTTGACCACAGAAAGGGAAAGTACACCGTGTGCCTAAGTGAGTAATTAGACAATAATGCACCTTTAAAAATACACAGCACTGGCCAATTTTTTTTTCCCACTTCCCAGTGTATTTCACACACAGTTTCCTCATGAACTAGATACTCACACAATATCAATCCTGATGCCACACAACAACATCATTATACACATATCTTACACAGAAGCAGTTTATTAACACTGGTTACTAGAACATTCCTAGGGCACCATGACTGTGAAAAATGTATTCAATAGGATTTGAGACATTTTCTGGCATTTTAGCTTACCTACAAAATAAATGAATTACATCCTCCTAAATACTAAATGGGTCAAATAAACACCTTCATTGATTATTAAAACCATTAAGCAATCACTGAAGGTCTTAGTCTGATTGAACAGCCACTTGTCACAGCTACAAGCATTTGAAAAGACAAGACATCATACAGAGAAAAGATTTGTTCTGTTTATTATCACCTGTAATGTTTCATTCTTCTGCTATTTTAATAAAGATTATTTTCTTTACATTGCCAGGAATTTACTGAATGGTACAGATATAGACATTATCTGCTTCAAAATACAAGACGATTTTAAGAAGACCCTTAAAAAACAATACAAATTACATCAGTCACATCAATTACATCAAAACCACAATGTTTGAAAGCTGTTGAATAAATAATGGAAATATATTATACATTGATTTCTGTCACTACATTAATGTGAAATGTATTCCTGATAAATAGTCTGCTTTCAAAATGAGATTCTGTTGAACCAAATTTATCAACTTGGTACAGTAATCCCACTGGTTTACAGGAGCAAAGATAAACAGATGCCCTAAAAACGTATTTTATTACTTGTTTTAATGCTGTTGAAATGTGCACAGTGGTGGCCCCAAGGGGTTTAGTACACACACAGTGAAACCACAAGACGAAATCTGTAAAAAAAGAATATTCTGACAACAAATTACCAAGGGACCAGCTGTCTTAATTATACAACAGTGAAGCAAGACAACTTTTCACGCACTACGTCAAGGGGAAAGGGTAAAACGCAGAAAGGCCAACCAAATTACAGCCTTGAATCCAATCTGAATTATTTACCATTAATTACATTTTCAGTCAACAGTTTATAAAAACTAATGTAGGTAAGAACGTTGATCTGCGTCCATCTCTGGTACGGTACACATCCCTGAAAGAGCATGCTCATGGCACAACATATGCTTTATACTTATCTATCCATCCCTTTTTCTTCCTAAGAGGTTGGAAAATCTATGAGTGAAAAATGGACTGCGGGGTTCATTTTAAGACACACAGACTAGAAATCCCTGCATCCTAAGAAAAAAAGCCCAGATATTTTATTACTTCAGACCTATTTCCTTAAATCTGACATCTTAACGAACACATACATTCCCAAATAACCATTCCCAACAGGGCTAGTGGATTAAAATGCTGGGGTGTGCTGAGAGAGCAGACAAGCCTGACGAACGGTGAAGACATACTGGGGGGAAAAATGAACAACGCAGCAGGCTGCTGACAGATGTGGCGGAGCTTTCAGTCCTTAATTTGTGAAGTGCAATAACATCTCCTGTATTAGAAGAAAAACAACATTAACATTCTCATCCACCAAAGCAGCTTAATGTTACTTCCCTTATATTCCTTCTCCCGGATCTGCTCACTGAGCAAGAAAGTACCATTCCATTTTGCTATTTTGCTATGAAAATACACTTCAAAAGCAGACACTACAAATACATGTTTTTTCCTTAATATAATGCTTTATAAAAGTCCTTCAGAAAACAAATGTCTTAAATTTGACTATAACGAACCAGGGACATGACAGGGAAATGTTTACTAAGTGTACAGTATATGTTTTCTAGGTACCTGAGAATAAAAATGAATGAACTGGCTGTTTGAAATGAAACCCTGCTATTTATGTGAAGGATTAAGGATTAATCAATACAATTACCTGCTTGATTACCACTGAAATACACCTACTCATAACCAGGAGAATCTTGTTCTTAAAGCTCTTTTATATTTCATTATTTATAAGAATTCAAGAGAAGTGCTAAATAAAAACAAAATCCCAATAAAAGCAGATTCACATTTTTGTGCGTTTTGAATCCTGCAATTATAAACAACACTAGCTCTCTTGTTTTCTTCTATAAAAAAATGTTAAATTTGATCGAAATCGTTCTATATAAAAATACATAGATCTCAATCTATGATTAAGGACTGATTTCCTGTATTATTTGGACACTTCTGAGTGACAGCCTGTGCTTGTCTCGTAGCTTGTATTAATGGATTTATTTTCAGATTTAATAACATATTTCCTTGTAGGCATTAGACTAATTTTTAATGTCTATTGCTGCATATGTGCATACAGAATAGCAAAAAAATTCTAAACAAATTACAACAGAAAAAATAATGTCTAATAGCTTTTCACACAAAACAGTTGTTTTAGATATATAAAAGGGTTTGGTGGGTCATGAGTCACGTTTACTTTTAGTCACTACTAATATGATCCTACTGTACCATTTTAAACCATGAACAGACTCTATACTCACTAAGTGCTCTGTGATACTGGGACATAAATTAAAGCACCTGTTAAACTAATACAGCATTTGACACAAGCTTAAAACAGAAAGGAAAATGTTAACTGAAAGGTGATCTCGTCTGCATTTTTTATTGTATTCAACCTATGCAATTTTAAGGGCCAATAAACAGTAATGAGATAGTCTCTTATAATCTAAAAAGTACTGTAATAGTATAATTTTTCATTGCATTTGACATAGACTAATCATTTCATTTCTTGATTTCTATAGACTAAGAATCCATTTCTGCGCTGTCTTTGATCTATCGGTACAGATTGTTTCAAACTGTGTTTAAAGTGCTGATTAATAAGTCTATAATAATCACGTTTTACAGCTTGCAGAAATGAAACAGGTATTATTTGTGGAGCAAGCCAGCTAGGTAGAGCTTACAATGAGGAAGAACAATATTTGCTCTTTTTCTGCTCAAATTAAATAATACATACCAGGCAGATCTTCTTAGAAACTACATGGATTTTGAGAAATATAATGGTACCAGTGTGCAAAACAGAAATGTTAGGTACCCTTCTGCAAATCTGTGAACAATGGCCCTTAAAAAATTATCTTTGACACCTCTACAGTATAGCATTCTCACATTCTCGCAAATGTTATTGAAAAAATGCATGGATTAAAAATAGTACAATAAAGGATGGAAATCATTTATTTGCAAAAAATATCCATATAAAAGCTTTTCCATATTGTTTAATTTAGAATCA